TGCCGGCTGAAAAAGAAGAAGGTGAAAGGATTATAAATTGGTGGGGGGGGGAGGGGGAGGGGTTAAAGAGCGGGGTCAAGCCCGCCCACCCGGGGGGTTATAACCTTTGGCCGGATGATGATGTTGCAACCGCAGGAGTCGCCACCCTTCGAGCCGGGAATCGTTGGTGGTGGTTTGCGACGCTGCCTTCGCAAATGGAGAGACCGATGTGGAGAACCCCTCGACGGCGTTGCACTTTTGTTGCAAATTGCCTTGGCGAGGACAAAAAGCTTTACAAGCCTCGCCACCTCTAATTGGCTTGTCGCAAGGCAGGGAGGAGGATTCAAGGATACAACAAGGATGCGGGGCTGCAAGAAGGATGCGGGGATTCGAGGATTCGAGGAGTGAAGTGGCAGCAGAAGGGGTAGAACTAATTTAAACCATGTTCCATCATCACAGGGCCACCCTTGGCTGCTTGGCTGCTTGGCTGCTTTGAGATGAAGGCCTATTAAACGTCAATTAATGTCACCTTCAACAACTGCAGCGCTGGCTGCAACGCCGCTCCTGCCTGCAAGTCCTGCAACTCCTTTTGGTCCTTCAACCCCGTAACCTTTCCCTCTCTCCATTCGGATTGTGATTCTGATTTGGATTGTGATTTCTATACTGATTCTGTTTTCTGTTTTGATTGCGACGCGTGCAGGGCTCAAGTTCTGAGGGGAGGGGAGAGTGGCTAGCGGAGGGTCAGAGTGCAGTGTTGCATGCAACAAGTGATGACCGTCTCAATGCACCCGTAGAGCCATAAAACCGGCCAGAACGGGATTTGACGAGCTGCCAACGGAATGCCGCAGGAATTCCAGTTGATTTTCAAAGCGTTTCAACACCTCGCGTGTGATGATTATATCCTCGTAAATTTAAACGAGTGAGGGGAGGTGAACTGAATGGCTAGAATTGGGGAAAAAGTGCTCCTTCGACTTACTATCTATATCTATTTGATGCTGTAATCGCAAACTCTTTAATTGTTAAGTTGTCTAAGAGAGCGCTTTAATCAACATAAGTTAAAAAAACCACACGTATTACTATCTTATAATTATATCTTATTTTCTTCGTTAACGCAAATTAAAGATACAGGAATATTGGAATTAATTAATTTCAGAGTAATATATTTTTGAGAACGACTACAATGATAATCATTCGCCAAAGCATTAAGCTCAGATTTGTTCTACCAATTATATATTTGATTAAATAAAAATAAATATAATTAGTGGTTACAAGTTAGCGTTCAAGTTAAAGGATTTTAAAAATCTTAGACATTTTTGTGCATTTGTGTGGGTAATACAAAACGTTTGCACATGTTAATAATTCGAAGAACTTGCTTTGAAGGCTTAAGGAATTTAAAAATAAAAACGTTGCTATTGAGTGGTTCTACATTTCTTTTAAACTGTGTACTAAACTACATTATTTTCTATGTTTGTTGGATTTCTCTAATTTCATCAAATGGTTATGTGAAAACAGAGTTCCCCAAAGAGCGAACGTGATGCGGGGTTTTCAGACTGAAAATGCATTCTGGACAAGAACTTAGCACGTGACTAGTGAGTAGTTACTGCGTTTGCTATCCTGTTGCAAACTTTTCACCGCTAATCGCAGCTTTGGACTTGAACTTGTGGCTCAAGCTCAAGGACATGGTACCAACCTTGCCCCTATGTTCGCTCCATCCCCCCTCCCCCTTTCCCTTTTCCCCCTTTCGTACAGCTAGGAGTCTATGTGAAACCCGCTTTAAGTGTCCTTCCCCCTTCCCCCTTCCCTATTCCCCTTCTCCCCTCCTCCCTTCCCCTTCCCCTTCGCTTCGCCATCCCCTTATTGCTCCCACCACTCCCCTGCTGCTCGCATTTCGTTTTTCAATTTTTTGGCTGCTTTTTGCGTTACTTTTTTTTCTTTCTTTTCTAAGAAAAAAAAGCAGGAGCAGCAGCAGCAGCAGCACAAGCACAAGCAAAAACAAAAAGAAGAACGCCGGTATACAGAGCAGGCTATTGTGTGTTCGCAGTTCACTTCCTTTGCCGCTTCCTTCTTCCTTTACGGTTTTCAGTTCAGTTTTCAGTTCAGTTTTCAGTTTCCAGAGCTTAAGCGCCGCCGTCGTCACCATCGCCACACCAACACACACCTCGCACGTGTGTGTGTGTGTGTGTGTTTGCTTGCGAGTGTGTATCCATGTGTGCTTCGTTTTTTGGCAACGCAAGCAGCGCTGTCAACGGAGACGTCGGCGCCAGCAGCGAAACAGTGTGAGAGAGAGCGAGAGGGAACGAGTGAGAGCCATCCTGAGCATCTTTCGTCCCGCTCGCACGCGCTCCTTTAAGTTCGCTATTTTGGGGGATTTAGGGAAAATGCGAGGGGGAAAGAGGGCGGCGGGGGGAGAGGGACAACACGCGCGCGTCTTTTCTGAGCCGCTTTTTTGAGTGGGTTTTTTTTCGTTGCGGAGAGTGCGACGGCGAGAGTGTGGAGACAGGAATCCATACAGTCCAACTTCCATAGCTGGAACATGCAGTGTCCAGGCGACGTAGCTTCCACTCGAACTTTAATCACAAGCAGACCCAGTTTTTACATCCACAGCATCCTTGAATGAAAATCTATCTCTAATATGAAATCTATCTCCAGTATGAAATTCCCATTGAAGAACTTATTTCAATAGCTGATGGCTATAAAAACAAAAGTTCAGAATATCAAAAGTTTAGGTATCCTTAATTGCCGAATATCTTTAAAATGAGATCAGTTAAGTACGGACAAGTGTTAGAGAAAACTTTGTCAATACCAAGCTTTTTCTTCAAAGTTATTTCAAATACATTTAGGCGCAAATCTTCCATATTCTAAAATGTTAAAGACTCTAAATATGAAACAAACAGCATCGTTTCAAAGTACCTACATATTTTAAATATTGACTACTTTAAACTAAAATCAAGTAAATTTCTTTGGTTACTATGCACATTTTGTTTAAATCCATTTATTCCTTAATTCCCAAGATGGATAAAATTAAAAAAAAAAACAGTTTTGTTGATTGGATCATCATATTTTTAACTGGGCACCATTATTTAACTGAAATGAGTGAACTCGAAATTGTTTCATATTTTTAATCCCACACAACTTATTATATGACATACCTCTAAAGTTGTTAAGTCCCACTATCGTAGGTCTAGCTAACATTATTGCTAACTGGTTTTAAATTTAATTGGCTTTGATAATTGCATAGATTCAGTGGAAACATAAATTTATTGACTTGGTGGTCTTATTAATTTGAATAAAATAAAGCAAAGGAATTTGAACTAGATTAATATCTGGCTTAACTTGCCTAACTTAATTGGGAAATTAGTCCATACCTTAGAAGAATTGATTGTGTACCAAATTCAACCAGTTATAAGTATAAGTTTGAAATTAACCTTTTCTAATTTTGGACTTCATTGTGGTTATTTTCTTAAAACGATCTTCTTTTTATTCCACCTTAGGTATATATGTACATACATATTATGACTTTAATTATTTTAAAAGGGGTTAATCTGGCTTAGTAATAGGGCTTGAATTATTATAGACGCAATATACATGCATACATCTTTAAATATTGTTTATTAATTATATGCACAGTTTCAGAATTTTGTTTGAAAAAAAAGTTAATTTTCAGAATAATAATTAAAGTCTCCTTGTACATTGTATAAGGATATCAAGCATGTACGTTTATACTGATGATTGCCATGTATCTCATAGTTTCAGGTCATCGTGGGTAAAAGATACTATATCTGGGAGGGAATATATATCTCAAGATCTCGATCTCCATGCCCGGAGCTTTTCTGATAACCCGACTGAACTAAACCTCCATTTTACATTTCATCTGTCCCATTGTTAGCTTTAATTACCGCTTTATCAATTTCCGCGCCACTCAACGTGACGCCAAAGTCGCTCAACACTCGCCGTTTACTCGCACTCACTCGACTCAAACAATCGCCGAAAATTTTCGGCAATCGGCATAGCTCAACCTCACGCACACCAATGCAGTTTCGGTTTCTTAGTCTTTGCCTTTGCCTTTTGCTTTTGCCGTTGCCGTTGCCATTGCCGTTGCCTTTGCCTTTGCGTCTCCGCTCTTCGCCGCAGCGTGCCGTATGTGTGTAGCGTGTGTGTGTGTGTGTGCCTGTGTGCGTTCGTATCTGTGTTTAGGAATTTCGGCAGCGGAGAAGAAAAAATGTGAATTTTCGAGTGAAACTGTGGCGCTGCCGGCGTCGCTGCCGCCGCGGGTTCTGCCTGCCGCCGCCGCTCGGCAGACAGTTCAGTGTCTGAAAACGCTCCTAACTGTAAGCAACGTAGCGCCGCGACTCGCGGGCTGCCCCAAAAAAGCAGAAAGAAATTGTACAAAGCAACCGAAAAAGAACAAAAAAAAGAAAAAAAGAGAAAAAATAGCCAAACGCAAAACACCGAAAAATACGCCAGAAGAAGCGGCAGCAGCAGCCTTGAATCAATTTTTTCCTGTGTTACACTTACTTTGTGGTATTTTGTGCCCGCCGTGACACTTAACGTTTTTCGCGCCACGGATACTCTAACTTGGATACACGGATAACGGAAAGGGCCAGTGGATCCGCCGTTACAAACTATCTTGGCCGAGAAAATCCCGAAAGAAAACCGAAAGAAGAATAGGAGGGGGTGGTGAATAACGGGGGCTTGTGGGGGGTTTCGGTGTGTTTTTTGTTGCTGCTGCTGCTACTTTTTTCGTGGCATATTTTTTGACTTTGACTTCAAATCGTTTGCCTTTGCTTTTTCCTTTGCCTTTGCCCCTGTGTCTGTGTGTGTGTGTGTCACTGTGTGAATGTGCGTAAGCGTTTGCGTGTGTTAGCAACAACAACAAAGATTGTATTTTTTTTCTTATTTTTCTTGATAACATTTTGGCTTTTCCGCAAAGATACAAATAGTGTTGCCCCGAAACAGAAATTTTCCAAGTTACAAACAAACAAAATCAAAACCGCGCACCAACAAAATTTTTTTTTTTGAAGGCAATCTGACATCATCTGCAAAGCTCCACTCTCCACTGCGCGAAAAAAGAAACACCAGAAATCAAAATAAAATAATACAACAAATTCTAAACATCAACCGCAGGCGACAACATTCGACAACATCAAATGAAAAGTAAGCTAAGGGACAGAAAGAAACAAAACAAATGACACTCCGAAATTTCCGCGGGTTTGGGCCATATGCGAAATGGTTTATTTTCTTTCGCCTACTTATTCACCACAAAAAATAATAAAAAAACAACAAAACCAAAAAAATGCCAACAACAACACTCACGCACACAAACACACACTACACGCACACACGAGAGCCAAGATCAAAGTCAACAGCCAAAAAAGCTCGCTCACTCAGGTTTTTTTTTGTTAACGCTCTCACGCATCGTCCCGCATAAATCTCTTCTACATCTAATGCCCCCGCGTTCTCTGTCTGTCACTCTCTCTGGCTGGCAGGCTCTCTGTCTCTCTCGGCGGCTCTCCCACGCCGCCTTGATGACGAAAGCAAATAGCCGAAAAAGACAATGAAAAAGAAAGCTTGCCCCGCTGTCGACTTTTGCCGGCCGGCGATCGCAACAGCTGTTAATGTTAACCCTTGTGTGGGCGTGTTTACTCCCAACCTTCTCTCTCTCTCTCTCCTCACTCTCTCTGACTCTCTAAAATGGACCCCCAAAACTAATTGCATTTTTCCCGTCTCTTTCACAGATAACTCTTTTTTTTGGCCCAATTGACACCAAAAACAAACAAACAAAAAAAAAAACACAAACCACTAATGTAAATCTTTTGAAGCCCACAAAAAGGACGAGTTTAAAAAACAGCAACGCACAACCAAGTTTCGAGCAGAAAGTTTAAATTAAAACGACCAAAAAACGTAAAAGACAGTTGCAAAAGCCCGTGAAAAAATCAAAACAAGAAATGCAAACGCGACTTTAACACGAATCCACTGACAAACGCTTGCTAAACGCTTTTTTTCCGGTTCAACAGAGGTCAGCAAAAGTTTCGACTCGGCAAAAACAAAAAAAGAAATTACCAAAAAAAAAAAAAGCAAAAAGAAAAAATCGAATACAAACGTAAAATCCGTCAAGGACATGATCAAATCGAGTAATTGAGCGCGCTAAATTCAAAAAGTCATCATTCCACACAACAACACCCAAAAAGAACGAGAGTTAAAGTAGGAGTTAAAAGAAGACAAGCTAAAAACAGAGAGATAGAATCGCAAGTATCTACGAAATCAGTTTCGAAAGCAGCAGTTCGCGTTTTCGAAAGCCCCCTTGAAATTCAGAAGTGTTCGAGCATCGGTTATTGCACAAGTTCGGTTTCAGCAGCTACACTCCCCCCGATATATATATTATATATATACATCCGATATATCCGATATATCCGATCGAGTCACCAGTAGCCGAAGGTAAACGTAAACCTCAAACCTCAAATCACACACGCACCCGAACCGAAGGAGCACCCAACCCCAAAATGGCATCCGAACTGGATCAATTCGCCGACCTGGAACTATCGAAGGAGGATCGTGAACAGATCTTCGATCCGCCTCTGGATCGACAGCAGTTGGAAGGTGCTGGCACCTCAAGGTACGTACCCGCCACTCGATAAGAAACACCTCCGAACACCCCAAGATCCCCCGCCGATACAGATCGAATAACAGATCGCGCAGGCGGTTCTTCTCTATCCAAAAAAGAAATCCCCTCGAAGACATTATTACTCCTCCCCCCACCCCCAAAACAAACACTCCAAACCTCTCCATCTTTCATTGATCTTGATGTAGCTTTTGTAGTTTGTTGTATGACGCTTCTTAGCCTTTTTAGTGCGGGCTCCCGGCCACAAACACCCATAAACCCATGAACCCACGAACCCACCAACCCGCGAACCCGCGAACCCACCAACCGATGAACCCACCAACCCACGACCGACCCATTAACCCAGTAATCCGATACTCTTACCCCAGATCGAACCAGATCGAATCAGATCCGTACAAGTTAGTTCAGCAACTATCAGAACTGCGCGAAAATGGCGCCAAATGGTTTTTATGGCCGCGATTCGATGCGACCCTCCAGGGTTTTGGCCAGAAAGAAAAAAAAAACCCTGAATGGATGGAAAAATGAAAATAAGTTGAGGCTCTCATGAGTAATGGGAAACCCGGAAGGGTGGGGAGGCGGAGGCCAGGGCATCCTTTTTGGCTTTGAATAGGAGCTGTAGGAGCTGCTCGCTGGCAATCCACAATTGCACAAATTATCACGCCAAATAACATGAGGTTCGCCCCTCGCACGGTGGCCCTCCTACTTTGGTGCCCCCCCCTCGTTTTTTGGACATACAACGCTGCTAAATAGCAGCTAATTTCCTGTGATAAATTGGGCATATCACCGGTAGAGACGGGCGGCCAAAGCAGTGAAAAAAAACCAAATGAAAAATAACAAATGATAAAAAAAAAAAAATGGCTCTCAGGAAAAGGACCCTGAGGATCCTCAGCGCCGCTGAAGACCCTCGTCAAGTTCCCCCCTCGAGCCAAGCACTCAAGTGGTGTAAGCAAACACTGAGCGGGCTAGAAGAACACGGGTTTCGCTGGGTAGGCGAGGCCATCATCATTGTCACATGGAAAGCCCTCGGCGAGCGGTAGCCACTGCCTGTCCCTCCCCTTAGTAGCTCCTTTCCCCACCCCTTTCCTCGCCAGCGAATTTCGGCGATTTCTCGCAGATTTCTGGGATCTTGGGCCAACCCCCGATCTGACAGAATTGATATACTTGCCGCACGCTGCATAAACCATCGGGGGTAAAAGTAGAAGTAGGAGGAGGATGAGGAGGCTGAGTTGAGACTGAGGAATCCTTCAAGCAGGATCGCTTCCTTCCTCCTTCTTCCGGTGGCAGAAGGGGAGGTGCGGGGCAGGGAGATCAACGAGGCTCTGCCACTGGCAACCAAAGATCCAAATTCGACCCAGCTCAGGGAGCCAAAGATAATGTTTGTGTTGCACCTCTAAACAGATTACCATTTTTTGCTGTAATCACGTCGATAGGAAGGGAATCTGAGCGATCGGGCAGCCAGTAGCTGGGAACTTTTCCACACGGATTACGATAGTGTACAATGTCACACTAAGGAATCTGGGGAGTTGTTCCCACTTCTATATAGACACCAGACTGGATACCAAGCTGTTCGAGTTGGGACCATTCTATATCTAGTATATTTCATTTATTGGTTGGGAATCCTGTTTTGTTACAAGGAACTAACATGTTAGGCCAAATCAGTTAAGTATATACTTAAGGAATGTAAAGTTGTTCAATTTTAAAAGGAATCTAAAGGTAGATTGTTGTGGTGCTGCAAGAATTAAACAAGATCTACATATGGTATACAATTCATTGCCAAGTTAACATTTTTATTTAGATAAAAAGGGACTCGGAACATTTCTAATCAACCTGGTGAATATATGAAATGATAGGAATGTTAAAAGTAATATGTATATACGATTTGAAGTCTACGAAATGCTATGAGTTCTACAAAATACAGAACTTGGATTAATTGGGATTGCAATGGGATTGTATGCAGATGCATATGTATCAGGGTAGCTATAATGCTAGAGAGCCTTATAAGATCTGGTTGACTGGTGCAACGGCCCACCGCATCGCCCACAAACTTGTTGCATCCCCGAGCGATGCCCGCTGCGACAGCACAGCTTGTTGCGTGTTAAGCCGCTTGTTGCAACAACGGCTAAGCCGGCAGGCAATGGCAGGCAGAAGAAGTCGGGAGAACTAATTTCCAGCAGCGGGAATGCAAAGTAAACAAAGACCAGAAAGAGTCTCTCACCAGACCGAAAGGCGAAATCGTTTTCCTTTTCTGTGGCAATTGGCATAATCCGGCAAAGGAAACATGCCGCTGCCCCAGGAGGCATCTTCCTTCCTCCGCGACTCCGCGACTCCGATGCGTTGACTACTATGCTTGGCTCTAATTTGGACTCGGACTTCCACTTCCACCTCGACGTGGTCCTCGTCTCTTGGCTCTGGCTTTGGCGTTTAGGTTTTTCGGGATCTTGGGATGCTGGGATCTTGGGATGTTTGGGATTTGCTTGGGTTGTTCTGCTTAGAGCGAAGGAAGGGTTGACCCAGAACGCCGGCGATCGAGAGATGAGATCTCAGATCTCTGGAATCTCGAATCTGGAATCTGCTTGTGATGTTGTGTGTGTGTGCGTGTGTGTGTGTGTGTGTGTGTGTTGGTGATCTCATGATCAGGTTTCTCAGGAGAGTTGGCGGTTGGAAATATGATTTTGGCTGAGTTTTAGGGGCTTTCCTGCTGCCCAATTCATTGTGTGTTCCTTTCTTCTTCTTATTGTTGTTGTTGTATTTTACTTATGTTGTTTTTGTTTTTTTTTTTGTATTTGGTTTTGTATGCCTTTGTGTGTGTGTGTGTGTGTGTTTGTTCGCTTTTCTAGTCGCAAAACGCTAAAAACACGTTTCTCATATTTCCAACTCGCTCTCAAACATTTTTAATTATAGCAGCGGCTTGTGGCCCTTCTTCCGCTGGCTTTTCTAATGTTTGTTCACTTGCGGATGGGGAGGGGCCTTCGTTTATTCATTCATTCAGAGGAGGTTGCGAGTTGAGGCTGCTTGCCAATTTGTCCTTTGCCACTTTGCTGCCTCTGCAGCTTCTAATCGCAACCCCTTCGGCTGCGCCGCCATCTGTATCTGCGTATCTGCATAGTTGCGTATCTGCATAGCTGCGTATCTGCGCATCTGAATCTGCGTATCTGTGTCCCTGCCTCCTCGAATGCCACTTAGCCTCGCAGGAGAAGCGGCTTTCTGGAGGCCAGCAGCAAATTTGATTCCCATCGATGATTATCAACTGGCAAGGAGGCATTCGCAATCGCCTGCCTGCTGATCCTGATCCTTCCACGGCTGCTCGCCTCTTTGATTGACAGCCAAATTAGTAGAGCTCCTTGTTGGTGAATGTGAACGCCTTTTTTGGGGGTAGATTGTAAATGTGGATGTGGATGCAATCTAGCCAGCAGCTAACAGCTAACAGCTAGCAAACTAGCAGGCTAGCCAACTAGCTTTGGGCAACAGCTGCTGATTCTCGGATCAACGGAGCCTGACCTTGGTTTATCGCTCCATTCAGCCATTCATTCAGTTGATCAGTCAGTCAGTCAGTCAGTCGATCGCCCCCGCCTTTGTCGTCACTCCACAATGCCAGCCCAAATTGAGCCAAAACCCGATTCACATCACTCCCATGGATGTGTGTGTGTGTGTGTGTGTGTGTGTGTGGATTAGTGTGTGTTTGTATAGAGATGATTGTGCACTGAGCAAAAACAAAGCTCATTACATTGTCTTCTAAAGAAGTGCACATTCCTCTAATATTGCATTTCTATAATCTTACCAAGGGTTTTTCGTTCGGGTAGAAGTTTTAATATCTTATAACTATCCAAAGAAGGTTTTCGGATTTTAATACAAGATCTATCATTTCAAGTAAATGATCAATTCGAGATATATAATTTGAAATATTAGTTTCCGAATTATTCAGGATAATACGACTATAACAAAATCATAGGGGATCTAAATCATTACCATAAAATTGTTCAACGGAGTACTTTTAAATATAATAAATATAAACTTTATAGAAACAACCTTTAAGTTACTAACAGACACTTCGGTTGTTAACTATATCAATATAGATTACTTACGCAAATTGCAGTAGCTCTGCCATATATTTTCGCAGTGTACCTGCGTTCTGTGGAATCAAATGAATGAAATCAAGTACTGAGGGAATGGCGGGGGAGGCGGCCACACTTTACCTACATTTCTCGACCAAAAAAACCAAAATATTCTCTGCCCCATATTGGGCTTGAAGTTGAAGGTGGTGGTCGAAGGGGAAGGGAAATGGGTAGGGGAAGGGGAAGGGGGGAGGGGAGGGGCGGCTTAGGCGTGGCCCGCCAAATTTCCGCCGATGCGAATTGCGAGCTGAAAACTGAAAACTGAAAACTGCGATTGCTGGAAGTTGAAGTTGTTGCACAGCGGAAGAGCAGAAGGACACCGACTTTGGCAAATCGCTCCGGACAGCAAACAGGATGCACATTTTTTGTTTTGTTTTCTTTTTTTTCCCTTGGTCTTTTTTGTATTCCTACTCCAGGTAGACAGGTAGCCAAAATGTGCCCGAGTGTGCGTGTGTGTGGGAGTTTCGAGCACGTTGTCAGGTACAAAAGACAAGAACGGTCTTGGCCTGCCCTAATTTCAAGGTGATGCTGTAACCAGGTTAAGCATTTGCCAGTCCTTCGAGGAGCCTTCAATGATCCCTTTCTGATTTCATTTGGCATTGGGTTCGTGTTTGTCTTGTTTCGATTCTACGATTATATTCAACTAAATCACAAGCTCAAATCACTTATTCTCTGTTTTCCATAACTAAGCTCTTTCTTTTTCCAAAGAGAATAAAAAGAAAATATGTTCTGTGAAAAGATATTTGAATGACAGAAGGATATCAACATTTTTCCTATTTCAATGTTGTAATGTTTATTGATTCATCACATGCATGTTTGTTCCTAAAATATTTTGTTTCCTTTGACAATGTGTAATGCTTTTAAAGACCACGCAAAAACTAG